TTATTAAAGGTTAAAAACAAATTGAAACTTATTAGATAAATATTAATTAAAAACTGTAGCTAAAAAATAAAAAATTAAAAAGATAAATTTGTCAATAAAATTAAAAAATTCCAATCAGTTAGCAGTTTGGTACAAAAAGTTATCTAAACTAGCTTTTTTAATTTGCTAGTAGCTTGGATCTTAATCGTTATCCACTAGTCCCAAACTGCTAAATAAAAATTTTTACTAAATACTTTATTTGTAATAATTTTGAAATATATAATTCACCAAACACTTATCCTTATCGGTTTAGGCAAAATTGTTAGTCGTTATCCCAAAACCACTATACCAAATAGGTCCCTAATTCCACAAAATATGATAAAGTCAAAACTCTAACCCTACCAAGGATATATCTACTTTTCAAAAAATATAGAGATAAATTATTTATCTAAATTATCTATTGAAACAAACGACACTACTGGCTGACATCATCGCATGTTAGGAATCCATTTACTATCTAAATATGTTTCTAACCGAAAACTGATATGTGATGATGTCAGTAGTTAAATAATAAGTCATTTGTTTCTATTGAAGATTTAAAAGGCAATTTATCGTTACTTTGATTGAGTGTTGAATTTATTCTTACCCCTTATTTTGGCGGTGGATTTAAGAGTTCAATTGTTATATAATTAATATTTTTTACTCAAAAGTCTATGTGTAAAATTTTATACATACACTCATTTAATAACATATTATATCATTTAATACCATGTCATAATTGTAAATTTATATTTTTATATGACATTATAGTCATAGTGTTGCTGTTAATTCAATAAATAAGTGTTTGAATTATTAATAACAACAATTATGAGATGTTGTATTAAATGAAACCTTGACCAGTAGATCTAAATTGCCAAACCAAAAACACCCCGAGGAAATGATAACACAAAGTCATATTTGAAAGTGAAAAATATAATCTAGCATGTTTTCTTCTTCATTATTTTTATTTATTTATTTTTGCCAACTACGTAAATATCCAGTCCAAATAAGCGATTCAGAAATTGATCCCTTAGTTCGATTCCACATGAACTTTTTGTTGAATGTAACAATTAGTAGAATTAAAGTACCTACTTATTAGATTCGATTACTATAAACAAATTGATCAAAGCAAAGACATGAAACAATATTAGTCATTTTGGCTACTACTCTTTTCAATTTCTTGTATCCTTCTTAACGCCTCACTTATCTTGGGTCGTTTCTTGGGCACTCCATCTATACACTCCGAAGCCAATTCCGTTAGCTTCAACATTCCATTATGCCCTTCTCTTGCATTTACTATCTCTACATCCAATATATTTGTTGACCAATCATCATTCATAACATTTCACATCCACTCTGACAATTCCTCTACCAATACATCATTTTCTGGTTCTCACTTGGGATATTTCCCGTTATGATCTCCAACAACAATACACCAAATCAATACATGTCTATTTTGTAGGTCAGTTTCTTTCCTTGATGGAATTTAGGTGTCTTGGAAATGACTAGCTTTTCTGAGGATTTTCGAGAGTGCAGTAGAAGGAAGTAACCGAAATCTATGAGCATGGTATGGTAACTTTGGTCGTTGAGACTTACAAGGACATTGGAGGACTTGAGGTTGTCGTGAGGCACTTTGTGGGTGTTGGGAATTTTGAGCACCACAATCCCGTGCAAACAGAAGTGATAAAGAAATTGAGACAACAATTTAACGTGATTTGATTTGTAACCTCTCAACAAGTCTACGTCCACGAGAAAGAGTGAAATCAATCTACCATTAAGAAAAAAAGTATAATAATTAATAAACTCTCTCACTCAAGAAGCTCTAAACACCTTAGCTTCAATATATAGGAACTCCTAAATTTTCCCTATTACTCTCTCTTAATCTTCACAAGGATTCTCTCACGATTTTTTTCTTTCTTTTCTTTCACAAGAGAACTCCCTCGACTCTTCTCAATTTGTTCTTGCTTTCTCTCACTCTTGTTTACATCTTCTGCCTTGCACCAAGCTTTATTTATAGAGCTCATCAACTCACTTAAGCAAATGTGAACAAGCCAAACAAGAGTCCTCAAGATGGTGCCATGTCTAGCAATACACTGGGGGAATTCTTCTTGCAATCAAGCCTTCTGTCAACATGGCAATAAACACCATGAGTAAATTTTAACAATTACATGGTAATTAAAAAGGTTTAACAAATACTTTTATGGAATTTACTCACACTCTCTCAAAGTGTACATTGCATGATGTTTATATACAAAGATATGTACAAGAAAATACAAAGAACAAATTTACAATCCCATTAACCATGCCTAGCCATTGCTGATATTGAACTTTCCAGATTTTGTCTTGCCATTGATTATGCTAGCCATTGCCTTGGTTTGTTTCCTTGACTGTTTGATCTATTACTTTTTTGTAATGATTGCTCATAATAGCCTTTGAATATGTTGCCTTATTACTCCCCCTCAAGTTAAGGTGTGAGAGTGGAAGAACACTTAACTTGGCTCGTAAATCTTAGAATATATTGCAGGGAGGAGCTTTGGTAAATATGTCAGCCAACTGATTTAAGGAGCATACAAACCGAGTAATAAGAGACCTTTGTAGTACTTTTTCTCACACAAAATGATAAAAACTTTCAATATGCTTAGTTCTTGCATGAAAAACTGGATTGTAAGACATGTAAAGGGCACTAATGTTGTCACAATATAAACTAGCCAGTTAGCAAACACAAACTCCCAAGTCCTTTAATAGAAAATGGAGCCATGTAAGTTCAGCAGGAGTTGAAGCAAAGGCCTGGTACTTCGCTTCAACACTTGAGTATGCAACCGTTGTTTACTTCTTTGCTCCCTATGATATTAAATTAGATCCCCAAGAATATTACATACCTGGTGACCGAACGACGAGTTAATGGACAACTCGCCCAATCAGCATTAGACAATCCATACAAATCAAGACTATTATCCTTTAGCAAATGTAAACATTGATCTATAGTCCCTTTAACATAATGCAAGATCCATTTCACCAATTGGAAGTGTCCGACAGGGAGTGAGTGCATGAATTGGCAAAATGAGTTAACCGCATATGAAAGCTCAAGCCTAGTTATTGTTAGATATTGCAATGCTTCAACTAAACTTTGAAATAAAGATGGGTTTGAAAATGGTTCATCTTGTGATGTGACTGAGGATTTTGCAACAATAGGTGTAAAAGTAGGCTTGCAATCTTGCATATTTGCTTGTTCTAGCAGCTTAGTTGCATATTTCTGTTGAGACAAAAATAAGCCATTATTAGTGTGGATCACTTGAATACCAAGAAAGCAAGAAAGTTCACCTAAATCTTTCATTGCAAATTTAGTTCCTAATCGAGTTAAAAGAGTATAAAGAAGAGTTGAGGAACTCCCTGTGAGAATGATGTCATCAACATATAGGAGAAGAAAAACCGTTCCTTGTGTGTGATGAAGGATGAATAAAGAATGATCACTTTGGCTGTGAAAGAAACCAAGTTGGAATAGATAATGATGGAACCATTCAAACCAAGCTCGAGGAGCTTGCTTGAGGCCGTAAAAGGCTTTATTAGGGTGGCAAACATGAGTGTGATGGGTTGAGGCATGGAACCCGGGTGGTTGCTCCAAGTAAACTGGTTCATTCAAGTAGCCATGCAAAAAGGCATTCTAAACATCCAACTGTTTGATTACCCAACCTTTAATAATGCCGATACTAAGGACCATTCGAATGATTTGGGGCTTGACAATTGAGCTGAAAGTTTCTCCATAATCAACCCTAGGTTGTTGATTAAATCCTTTTGCCACTAACCTAGCTTTGAGCCTTTCTAAAGTGCCATCAGCTTTTAGTTTAGTTTTGAAAACCCATTTAGATCCAATCACATTCATTGAATCTGTGCGAGGTACCAAGGTCCAAGTCTTGTTCTTTTGTAGTGCATTCAACTCTTCTTTCATTGCTTCATACCATCCTGAATTCGTAAGGGCAATTTTAAGTGTTCGAGGTTCCTTTGGAATAGAAATTGGAGGGGAAGCACTATAGTGTAAAAGTCCAACCTTTGCTTTTCCTCGTGTCTTCATTAGATGTCTATTAAAGCCTAAATGGCATCCTGGATCAAGATTAGATGAAGAAATAACATTAGTAGAACTTGAGTTAGAAATATTTGAAGGGTACAAATGGCTTGCTCTTTGTGTACTAGGCTCGTAGCCATCATTGATGGGAGGTTCTACATTCTGATTGCCATTTACTAAAGGGGCCTAATCACAAGTCGGTGTAGGTAGTGCTAGAGCAAGATTCTTGCATTAACCGATTGTGTTTGGGTACCAAGACGATTTTCTTGACTAGCCTCATCTAGGATATTTAACCAGGAGCAAGATTCGGTTAACTCTCCCTGAGTTATATGATCACCTGAAAATTCAATCATGTAAGGGAAAATATGTTCATAAAAAATAACATGTCTAGATATATAAATTTTACTTGTAGGAACATGGAGACATTTGTAACCCTTATGATTATGGCTATACCAAATAAATACACAAAGAAGTGATTTAAGAGAAAGTTTATCATCTCTATAGTTTCTCAAGTAAGGGTAACAATGACATCCAAAACTTCTAAGAGATGAGTAATCAGGGTCCTTATTGTAAAGAAGTTTGAAAGGTGAAGAGATATTTAAAGTTGAAATAGGTGACCTATTTATAAGGAAGACAACAGTATGAATAGCTTACAGCCATAATCTCTTAGGACATTACACATGAAATAAAAGTGTAAGAGCCTATTCAATAATATGTATATGCTTTCTTTTTACCATACCATTTTGCTTTGGTGTACATGGGCAAGAGACCTATCATACAATGTCATTGTTAGATAAGAGAACAATAAACTCAACTTTATTGGATTCACCTCCACCATCAGATTGAAATATTTTAATGTTTCGCTCGAATTGATTTTCAACCATTTGTTTAAATTGAGCAAAGTGTTTATGAAAATCATATTTATGTTTTAGAGGAAATATCCAAACATATTTAGAGAAATCATCAACAAATGTAACAAAATATTTGAAACCTTGGAATGATGCACAAGGAGCAAGTCCCCAAATATCACAATGTAATTTTTGGAAAGGCAATGTACTTCGTTCATTACTACTAGTAACAAAAGGCAATTTGGAAAATTTTCCCATTTAACAACTTGAGCAAATAGAAGGAGTATTATTCTTTATCCCTTCAAAGGAAATAAAATTTTTAATTTAAAGAAAATTCAAGATTCGAATGAGGATGACCCAATCTTTGTTGCCAAATTTGTTGAGTAACCTTCCTCTGTCGAACTGAAAAAAGAACTAATTTATTTTCTCCAACAGTGTAAAGACCTCCATCTCTAGTTCCATTTGCTATTGTTTTCCATGTCTTCTTGTTCTTAATCACAAAGCTAGAAGATGTGAATATAACAATAACATGTGGAGATTCACCAAGTAATTGAGATATAGAAGTCAAATTATGTTTAATATCAAGAACAACCAAGAAATTTCTAATGAAAGATTTCCAAATGGTGTAGGAATTGAAACATTACCAACATGAGTAATTTTAAGTTTCTTACCATTTCCAACTAGAATTCTATTTGTTCCTCTATAAGGTCTACCATTAAATAAGTTACCTGCATCATTTGTGAGGTGAGACATTGCTCTAGGGTTAGGATTCCAATCTAGATCATTTTCATCATCTATAGAAAGTGCAGCTAATGCTTTTGGTATGTCTTCTTGATATGCATGATTGAATCTCTCATAACATCAGATAGCCTTGTGTCGTTTATTGCAAATTTGACAAATGATTGTTGTATGTTAGCTTGGTTTTGGCTTCTGTTCAAAATTGGAGTTTCCATTGTTGTATTTATGGAATAATCCCCTTCCTCTAGTATGACCACGTCCTTGAGAGGAACGATTGTTAAAACACCCCCTTCCTCGATTTGTTATAAAGGCTTGCTGTTCATTGAAAAGGTGGTTGTGACGTTTTTCAAAATCAACTAATGATTATGAAAATTCATAAAATGAAGAAGGTGGTGAAAGAACCTTCATGGATCTAATGAAACTATCATACCTTTCACCAAGACCATGGAGTGACCAATAAACTTTGTCTCCATCATCCACAGGTTGGCTAATTGCATCAAGTTCATTACTAGTCATCTTGACTTCTTGTAAATATGCATCCAATGAGGAATGCTCATCACGTTGGAACTCTTGCAATTTTCGAAAAAGATCTCAAGCCTTTTGCTTTGAAGAATTTGCAAAATGCTCTTTTAATGCCTTCCACACTATCCTTGCTAAAGATAGACCAGCAGTAAAGGGCTTAACTTGAGGAGATAGCGTTGCCAAAATGAAGCTTTCCATGAGGCTATCATCTTGTTTCTAAATAGCACTTAGTTCCTTTTCATTAGAGTTTAAAAGGATGTGGCCTGACTTTGAAATTCCTTCAATTAGTGGCAACATTTGATTATGCCAAGTGATATAATTTTTTGATGTCAGTTTATCACTCACCATAGTAGATATTTGTGCTATGGTTGTGATGGAAAATGGTGTTGGTGTGACGATAGGTGTGGTGGTAGTTGTGTCGATGGCCATTGAACAAATATAAAAGCAATTGAGAAAAGGGACTAAGAGATAACTTCTCTTAGGATGGCTCTAATACCATAAAAAGGTTTAAGAAACACTTTTATGGAATTTGCTCACACTCTCTCAAAGTGTAGAGTGTTATGTATTGCATGATATTTATATACAAAGATATGTATAAAGAAATACAAAGAACAGATTTACAATCCCATTAACCATACTAGTCGTTGCTGATATTGAACTTTCTAGATTTTGTCTTGCCATTGATTATACTAGCCGTTGCCTTGGTTTGTTTCCTTGACTGTTTGATCTATTTCCTTTATGCAATGATTACTCATAATAGCCTTTGAATATGTTGCCTTATTAGTAATAAATGCCATGGAGGGTGAAAGAAAGAAAGCTCCCCTACTTTTGACATTTTACACCATCTTTCAATGGGGCTAGAATATTTTGTCAACAAACTCCCTCTCTAGCCCCATAGGAGAAGAAACCAACCATGACTCCATTCTGGCTCCCCTTGCTCAAGAACACTTCATCATGGTGTCCTATTTTTGAGAGTTTTCTCCTAGTATATAATAGGACAAACCTACACTAGGCATACAGTAGAAATTAAGTTTGAAGCAAAATATGATTCGAGAAAGAATGACATCTCCTCAAACCATTATCAAACACCACTTCATTTTTTAAGCTCACCTTCTTTTTGGTCTTATTAATTTCTTTGCCATTTACCAAGATCCTTTTAGGCTTCCACACCATCTTCCTCATGGTCTTGCTAAGCCCTCTCTTGGGATGTTTCTCAAGCACATAGACGTTGTGCTTATTCTTCCTCCCATGCAAAACAAGTCTTCCAACATTGTAGACTTTGCACCACTCTCACTTTCCAACTTACTTGTACCCTTTTGTTGTCAACTCATTCAAAGCAATAATATTGCTTGAACATTTGGGCACGTATTTCACATTCTTGAGAATCTTAGCACTTTTATTGTGAATATTAAGGCCAACATCTCCTATGCCTTCAATATTCACCTTCTCGCTGGTAACCACCATTATTTTGCCAAGCTCTCCTTAAACCAAACTCACAAACTTAGAACGATTATTGCACACATGCATGGTTGCAACAAGGTCCAAAATCCACCTTTGACTGTTTTTCTCCACCTTAGGATCACACTCCTCGCAAACTAATAATTTAACCACATTTTCTTCTATAATATTAGCCTCCCCTTTGCCCTTGGTTTCTTGATTTTTCATCAATAATTTCATATAGAAAAATCTTTCTTAAACTTTGGACATTTAAATTGTTTGTTACCCAACTCACCACAATAGAAACACTCAACTTCATTATATTTCTTCTTAAGTCTAGATTTCAACTTTTCTCGATTTCCTCCACCTTTATGTCTATGGGATCTACCCCAAGATTGCTCCATCACCAAAGCCTTATTTTGATTGGCACCATCATCCTCCGCAAGAAACTTATCATTCTCCAACAACATAGTTGTGACCTTTTTCATCACCTAAGTAGTCTTACGCGCCAACATACTTTGCACTAGGGACTTGTAAAACTTAGGTAAAGATGCAAGTAAAAGCAAAGCTTTCTCTTCTTCTTCTAGATTATCCCTAGCATTCACTACTTATGTCACCTTTATGTTAAAATCTGATAAGTGCTTATGAATATTAGTGCCTTCTGTCATTTTCAATTGACATAGCTCCATCTTTAGACACAATTGATTGGTTAAAGATTTTGAAGCATATATTTCTTCAAGCTTCTTCCATATGCCTATTAGAGTAGTCTTTAAAAGGACATTATATTTCACCTCCAGTGCAAGCGCCAACCTAATTTAACTTGCTTCCTTCTTCTAGATAGTACTCTAATCACTATCCTTCACCTCAGCCAACTTGTTCTCTTCTAAAGCTGCATCAAGTCCTTGATAGGTAAGGACATCCTTTACAGTGCTTTGCCATAGAGCAAAGTCATTCTTGCCATCGAATAGCTCAATTGAATACTTCATCGTGTCAGTTTGCATTTCCCCCACAATATCCAAGAGCTTTACCAATACCTCTGATACCACTTGTTGGGAATTTTGAGCACCACAATCCCACGCAAACGGATGTGATAAAGAAATTGAGATAGCAATTTAATGTGATTCGATTTGTGTACCTCTCAACAAATCTATGTCCACAAGAAAGAGCAAAATGAATCCGTTATTAAGAAAAAGATTATAATAATTTAGAAGCTCTCTCACTCAAGAAACTCTCAACACCCTAGCTTCAATATATAGGAACTTCGAAATTCTCCCTCATACTCTCTTTTAATCTTCACAAGGATTATCTCACAATTTCTCTCTTTCTTTTCTCTCATAAAAGCACGCACTCACTCACTTAGCTTTTCTCAATTTCTTCTTGCTTTATCTCACTCTTGCTTACATCTTCTGCCTTGCACCAAGCTCTATTTATAGGGCTCATCAACTCACTTGAGCAAATGTGAACAAGCCAAACTAGACTCCTTAGGTTGGTACCATGTCTAGCAATAGGCTAGAGGAATTCTTCTTGCAATTAAACCTTTTTTCAACATGGAAATAAAATGCCATGAGTAAATTTCAACAATTGCAACATACTAATAAATGCCATGCAAGGTGAAAGAAAGAAAGCTCCCCCATTTTCAACATTTTACACTACCTTTCAATGAGGTTGGAATATTTTGTCAACAATGGGATGGTAAGTATTGGTGCAGGAAGTTGAGACCCATTGCTACGTCTTTGATGATGGACAATCTTGTGGCCCAATTCGGAGGAACTTTATCCACTCCTTTATTCTCTACAAACCACAAATTAGTAAGCAATGGCTATGTAAGTAATCAATTCCCCAAAATTATCTAGATTTTATGTTACTTCTTTAAAAGTAATATGTGTAATTTACCATGCAAGAGATGAAACAAGTTGCTTGAATTAGGTTCATATTCATACATCACCAGCTTTTCTTCCTTAGAATGGGAGAAGGAGATGAATTGTGCAAGGTTATTTGTCTAATCTTTCCAAGCAACTGCATTTACTGAATGAAATCCTTCTTGCTCAATCCATATGTATTTTTCACTCTCTTCCTTGCAAGAACTAGGTCTGATTCTAAACTTGCTTTGTATGTAGCACCTAATCTCCCCTTCCCTAGGATTTTCACGGATGACCTCAGTAAATCATCTAGTATATTCTTCTCAAAAAGAATTGGGTAAATAATCCTACATGTTTCGACTTTCTCTCTTAGAGCGTAACTATTTAGAGAGAGAAAGAAGAATAATTGTTTCACATGAAGCTTCCATGGTACACTCCTCTCACTGGAGCTCACCCATGGTCCCTAGTCCTCAATCATCAGCTAGATCTTGGCATCCTTCTATACTAAGTTTCGTACAATTAGGCTTACAGGTACAATCAATGGAATCGTTACAAGAGAAGATTTGTTCTGAGATTCAAGTGGTTTTAGTGCTCCTCCCCCCTCCGTACAACCTCTGTGTGCTGGATCGAGGTCTGTCACTTCACCAGAAAGTTCGCACCTAGCTTTAAGCATGGGCAAGTCTTCTTCTCCCCCAATTGCCGGTCCACTGGAAATTGACGCATCATCAATATCATCTTCTTGGGTGGATGCTCTCACTGATGATTCGAGTTAGAATTCTTTGTCCTACCACCCTTCTGAGATGCAGAATGGAAAATTGGTGATAAAACCCCCAAGCTTAGTTTATAATGAGGGTCTTTGTTCTTAGGAAGATTGTCTAGTTGGATCTTCCCTGGGTACTTCCTCACCCAACTATGGTGATATTGTGCACACAGTGAATATGCTATGGGAAAGGAAGGGTAAAATTTAGGCCACTAACCTCTTTTGAATCCCAGATTCACCCACCAGAGAATGGATTCTTAAATCTAAATTCCCATGGCACGTTGCACACAATATTCTCTATCTATAGCAATGAAAGCCAAATTTAGAGGTATCAAAACTGAAGCCCTCTAAGATACCAGTATAGGTAAAAATCTAGAATGTGCCTATAAGCATGTACACTCCTACTGGACTTAGCTATGTAGCTAGTGCCATTGGTGTTCTTGTGTCTTTAGACAAAGCCATAGAGCAGTGTGTGCGTATTAATTTTGCACAAGTTTGTTTTGAACTTGGTTTTGACAAAATTCATGACTTCCTTTTTTCTACATCTGTTGATCTTGAGGGGGATTTAGTGGAAATCACATTTGGGTATCCATGGCTCCCTGTCAAATGCACTAATTGCAAAAAAGAGGGTCATACTAGTAAAAATTGTCTCAAAAGAGGTACAGGAAAAGCCAAAAGTTAGGCAAGAATGGCAAGTAATGCAAAAGAAGAGCAAGGATAGTCATCTTATGCAACAACAATAGGTTATTCAAAGTAATGCTTAAACTCTACCTAGAGGTAGTGCTCAAGCCTCTTTACTAGTAGCAATGCTCCACTCCAGCCTGCCATCACGCCTGACTTGATTGCCAAGGATATTTAGGAAGTCCCATCCCCATCTGTACTAGATGGTTTTGTTTTAGTATAGATACCTCAGGTTGTACTTCCTACTACAAATAGTTTTGCTACCTTGGAATCTGCCTCTGTAAATGCACCCTAACCAAAGACAAGAAGATCACAAGTAGCTTCTCAAGGAGTTGCTGCAATTACAAAGCCCCTAATACCAAAGCCAAGGCAATCCAAGAAAAGTTCAAACTCAAGTGAGGTACCTTCTATCCAACTTAAATGAAGTTTTTATTTTGAAATATAAAGGACACTAATATGCCTAGTAAGTAAAGGAGTATTAAGAAGTACTTGCTATAGTATAATGCTGATGTGATATGCCTCTTGGAAACGAGAGTTCAGCATTCAAAATTTTTGCAGATATCTAGCTTCTTATTGCCTAATTGGATTGTTCTTCACAAGTACGGTTATGCAAGGCTTGGCAGAATCTGGATTTTTCATAAGTCCAATATTCAAGTTATTGTTTCTACTATGAGTTGCCAAGCAATTCACTGTCATGTTTATAACACTTTGTCTTGCCAGTATACATTTTTGAGTGCCATATATGCTGACCCTTACTCAAAGATGGCTAGAATGGAACTATGGAATGAATTAGTACTTCTTGGTCAAGCATTGCCTACTACCCCTTGGCTTGTTGGTGGAGATTTTAATGAAATCAAATCTTGTTAGAAAGGTCATATGGACTTGCTTGTTTGCCTTGGGAATCAATTCTATTTAATGAGAAACTTCAAAAGGCTGAGCTACATGATTTGGTTTCAACTGGTTCTTTCTTCACATGGACAAATAACAGATGTGCCATGCCTATAAATAAAAAACTGGATAAATTAATGGTAAATGAAAGCTAGATAGATGCATATCCCAATACAATAGTTGAGTTCCTTTCCCCAAGTTGCTCTGATCACTGTGTAGGCTGTGTAAATATTCATTCACCCTTTGAGAATGCTAAAAGAAAGCCATTCCAGTAATTCAACTTCTGGACCAAGCATGATCAATTTTTGGAGATAGTTAAACAAACTTGGGATGCTACTTTGGTACAGGGATGCTATATGTTTTAGCTTGGTAAAAAGCTAAGGGCTCTTAAACCTGTTCTTAGAAAACTAAATGTGGAACATTATGGGGATCTTCCTAATAAATTGTTGCATGAGCAGAACAAATTACATCTCATACAAGAAGATTTATTGGCTTGTCCAAATGAAGCTCTAATCCAAGTTAAATGTGACCAAGTTGAAAAAGTTGCTTATCTATAGCTAGCTGAAGAATCTTTTTACAAGCAAAAATCTAGAGTAAAATGGCTACCACAAGGTGATGGTAATTCTACTTATTTTTACAAAATGATGAAGGTGAGGAAAAGTAGAAACACAATCAGAGAGTTATATACTCATGACAACATGAGGCTTACAAGAATGTCTGAAATGGAGGATGAAGCAGTCCTATTTTACAAAAAGCTACTTGGAACAATTGATGAAAATTGTATCAAAGTTAATGATAGCTAGTTTAGTGATCTATTCTCCTTCTAATTACCTACTAGACTCTCAGATTTTTTAGCATCACTTATTATAGAAACAGAGATTAGAGGGGTGGTATTCTCTAGTCTTAGTAGGAAGGCTCCTGGTCCAAATGGATATACATCAGAATTTTACAAGGCTTCTTAGCCTATTATTGGAGATTTAGTTCTCAAGGTAATTAAGGAATTCTTGTCATCAGGCAAACTGTTAAAAGCAATAAATTCTACTACCCTTTCTCTAATGCCAAAGGTGTCTAGCCTTTCCAGAGTGACTGAATTTAGGCCCATTGCCTGCTGCAATTTACTATACAAATTCATCACCAAAATATTGGCCAATAGATTCAAGAAATGCTCACCTTTGTTCATTAATAAAAACCAATGTACTTTTGTAGAAGGCAGACTAATGGTAGAAAATGTTCTGCTTGCACATGAGCTTGTGAAGTATTATCACAAGGACACATTAAGCCCCAGATGTGCACTAAAAATTGACTTGATGAAAGCGTTCAATTTTGTCTCATGGGACTTTCTTATAAAGGTTTTACCCTTTTTGGGCTTTCCACCTTAGTTTGTGAATTTGATTAAAGTCTATGTAACTACTCCCATGTTCTCAATTTCTTTCAATGGAAATTTATGTGGCTATTTCTCTGGACAAAAAGGTATTAGACAAGGTGACCCCCTCTCACCTTACCTTTTTCTTGTTTGCATGGAAGTGCTATCCAAGTTGCTTGACAAAGCTGCTGCAGAAAGGGGAATTTCTTACCACCCCAAATGTGAAAAGGTTCTACTCACACACCTATGTTTTGTTGATGATTTGAGTTTCACTAATGGTAGCTTATTTTCTATCAAAGCTATTGACAATGTTTTAGAACTTTTTTACAAGATCTCTGGTCTACGAGTTAACTACAATAAATCAGAGGTGTTTTGCTGTGGATTACTTGCAGCTGATGTGCAACAACTTGTTAACAAATTTGGTTTTAAACTTGGTGTCTTGTTAGTGAGATACGTTAGGGTGCCCTTAATTATTGGGAAATTGACATACAAGGATTTACATCCTCTAATTGCCAAAATCACCGATAGGATGTCCTCTTGGTCAACAAAGCATCTTTCTTTTGCAGGTAGATCACAGCTAATTTCCTCAGTAATACAGGGAATTACCACCTTTTGGTGTTCTACTTTTATTCTACCCAAGAAAGTCATTAAGGAGATTGAGCAAAAGTGTAATGCCTTCTTGTGGAACAACTCAACAACTAACGCTAGGGGTACTAAGGTTAGTTAGGCTGCTATTTGCTTCTCAAAGCAAAAAGGTGGTTTAGGCTTAAAAAATCAAGTGCACTGGAACAAAGCCTGTATATTACGATTCATTTGGCTTTTATTCTCTAAACCAAGTTCTATTTGGGTTGCATGGGTCCATGCATATTTGCTAAAAGCAAGAGCTTTTGGTCCATAAAAATTCCATCTGATGCAACTTGAGGTTGGAGAAAACCACTTAATCTCAGCTCATAGGCTAAAAGAATGATTCAGCATATTCATAGTGATGGAAATGACATACATATTTGGCATGGCAATTGGCATCCATCTGGGCCACTTTTGGAAGTCTATGGTCAAAGGATTATTAGGGATGTAGGTCTACCATTCCATGCGAGACTTCTTGTGGTAGTGAATGGCAACTACTAGTGTTGGCCTCTTGCTAGGTCACCACAATTGGTTCAAATTCAGGCTGCTTTATTTAACAAATTATATTCTAAAGAGGGAGAAAAAGATTTTGTAGTTTGGATACCTTCTACAACTGGTATGTTCAAGACAAGAGCAACTTGGCATTGGATTAGAGAAAAATAGGGTAAGCAACCTTGGCATAAGCTGATTTGGTTCATTGATGCAATACCTAACATAGTTTCATAAGTTGGCTAGAACTGGTATGTTCAAGACAGGAACAACTTGGCATTGGATTAGAGAAAAACAGGGTAAGCAACCTTGGCATAAGCTGATTTGGTTCACTGATGCAATACCTAAGCACAGTTTCATAAATTGGCTAGTTACCCTTAACAGACTCACAACCAACGCTTGCTAGAAACAGTGGGCACAAAATGTTGATGACACTTGTGTTTTATGCAAGTGTGACTTAGAAACAAGTCAACATTTATTTTTAAAGTGTGGACACTCAAAGGGCATTTGGCAGGAACTTAGCCACATGACAGACATCCCTTTTGCTAGACTCATGGCAAGATTTATTAACCTAGCTTGGCAAGAAAATTCGAAGGAAGTCTCTACATAACGCTTTAATCAAGCTATCTTGGAATGCTGCTATATATCATATATGGATAGAGCGGAATCGGAGAATTCATACGCAATGTTTAAGAACTGAAGCAGCACTACTTGCAGAAATTCTAGCTCCACTGTTCTTTCAGGATCCTCTGTTATCCAAGATGGAAGCTTTTTCTTCACGGTGGCTAGCCCCAGCGAAGATTCTTTTTTGATGCTTCTTTCCGGGGCACTCTCTTATAATAACACAAGAAAGCAAAAATGACAAAGAATGGAACTAGGCCAGCGGCAGCGGCAAATCAGAGCCAAATCCAACGTTCTGAGACTCTTGCTTTGCTTGCTTGGGGCGCTGGACCTGGAGAAACAGGGGAAACAGGGGAAGGATGTGGCTGTGGGGTTGGTGGTGGAACGGTGGGAGGAGGAGGTGGAGATGGACATTTTCCCTTCGAAGGTCTGCCACAAAGACCTGGGTTACGTAGAGAGGAGCTATCTGGAAAACCTTTAAGGATATTTGTTTCAGGAATTTGACTATGAAGGTGGTTATAAGACACATTGAAACCTATCAAGGTCTGTTGATCAATAGGTGGAATCTCCCCAGATAATTGATTCTGTTGCAGCTCTAGCTGCATCAAGTTTGGCAGTTGGATGCAATCAGAAGGAATCTGACCGATTAAGTAATTTTCCGACAGTAAAACAAAGTTCAAGTACAGGAGATTGGTAAGATTAGGCAGGGGACCAAGAGGAAGTTTTTCCTGAGGCTGAGTTTAGTCAGGAAAGTAATGTTTTGGGGGAAGTCTGGAGGAAGAGAACCCTTTAGCTGAATCTCGTCGAGGACAATCCCAACGACATACCCATTCCAACAATCAATTCCATCCCATTTGCTCTGGTTATTGATACAAGGAGACCCCGTCCAGTTACTATGCAAATTTGCAGCGGAATTAAGAGAATCCCTGAGTTGCAGCAAGGTAGCACGTTCAGAAGGATAGTACTCGCTGATCCCTGTCAAGGCAACCGCTGCAGCACGTGGAAATGCAATCAACAGAGCTGCGAACATATACAGAGCAAGATTCATGGTCTGTCTAGAAATGGAAGCAACCAAAAAGACACGGATATGACCGAGAAAATTTTCAAGTGTTGCATAAAGGAAAACTTTGGTTTAGGTCCTGGATTATTATTAATACGGGCTGTTTGAAGAACTATGCTAGGCACATCAGGAATGACAGGACGGTTAAATGCGGAAACAACAAAGAACTCAACAACAATGCGACAGCTTAGGCTTGTTGGATGTTTTTTGACATAAACGTGGGAATAAGCATATATAAGATATTAAAAAAAAAAAAAGGATTTAAATGAGTACTTGTGGGAAGTAAAATGAAAAATGGCATAGAGCAGATGCAACAACTGTGATTGGATCACCATTCCTTACAATATAGAGCTCAACAAACAGTAAACTTCCATAGGATTGCTCGTATTCCCTAAACAATATTTTATATTCATGTATCTTTCTTTGAATTGGCATGGAGGAATTGAAAGGAAGTTCAAACTTCAAACTAAATGAAGGGAAAAAAGAACAAAAGAGACTCATTGTTTCGGGGAATACTAGGAAAAAATATTAATGATCGTTAATGATCTCCGTAACATATGTAGTGCTTGGAAATAAAAAAGAGTGCTTCCTCGAGCACGTGGGCGTAGGGGTTGGGGTTGGTTTGGGTATCTAACAACCTCGGCGACTACTGGAGTGATGCTACCACTTCTATTCTACCGGATAGGAGATTCGGAATATTGGATTTGACTTTAAAAGATTAACATCATGGTAGGTTAGTTGGATATAAGATAGTCAAGCAAGCTTAATCTTATCGATGATAGGCATCGTGTCAGGCAGATTACGCACAGAACAGAAAGTCAGGCCATGCTATACCAAATAAATCTTCCTCTATCAGAGAGAGAATATTTGACCCTTGTTATTTCCATAGATACCATACATTAAGCAATAGTGTAAATGATCACCTGTAATTAAACAAATTAATCTTACCAAATGATTCCAGCTTCATGCCCATATCCATAAGATATATTGAAAATGGAATTTCTTGAACTTAATGATGTCTACAGTTAAGGCATAAGATGCAATCATGTAAGGAGAATACAATGTCTCTGGAAGACAGTCTTTTTAACTGGCAGATAAAATGTTCAATTTATAGGTTTGCTTAAATGAAGCTAGAAGATCCCCAAGTCCAAATGATGTGAGTCAAACTCCATGCACACCAAAGATGATGTCATCTGAAAATCTTGAAGGAGAGGCAGCACAGCAATTTCTTATTTTGACATCTTTGCAGTCAATTCTCTTACCAGCTTTGCAGCAACCATTGCAGTCATCCCATCAACAGTATCCCGTTGTGGATTGAACTCCACCACATCTGCAGCTACAACATCAGCTTGGAGGTTATGAAGGATATTGAGAACATCACGAAAAGATAGACCTCCTGGTTCAATATGAGATACTCCTGGAGCAAAGGCAGGATCAAGACAGTCGACATCCACTGAAATATAGACACCCTTTGCTCCTTCACCTAATTTCTGTTGAAGCATAATATGTAATTGAGTTCACAATATGAGCATTAAAACTTCCAATTTCCTTACATTTCCAGAAACTGAAGAGTCTTGTAGTCAGACACAAAAAGGAGATTGATAAGAGAACACAGATGGGAGGGAAACAGAGAGAAAGAAAGAGAGAGACCAGGTTTTCCAAAAAGCTGCGGTCTCTTGAAAATGTCCGCATTTCATATTGCTCAACTCCAAACCTTTTTCCTTGCTCCCGTCCTTCACTTGTTATTGATCTAATACCAACCTAAAATGTAAACAATCCAGTTGATTTGTTACAATTTAATAACTACCAACCTTTGTACATTTGCTGAGTGGTGAGTTGGAGTTTACAAGGGGAAAATGCCAGCAAAGAGAGAAAATGGTTAAATAACTGAATATGTCCCCAAAATACCACAAGTGCAAGTAATCTGTGAGATGATAAATGAAACATGGATGTAATACAATAAGATTAGAAGGTCTGTGTCCAGTAAAAAGGAGGTACGTGATAAACAGGGAGTGACAAGAAAATACAAAATGCAATTTCACCAAATATCATCCAAAACAAAGACAGGTGCCGCCATTAAACTCCCTTAATAATAATGTTGCTTTTACATATTAACGTTGCTACAAAAAACTTAAGGGCTTGTTTGGTTGGTGGGCTATTCCTTGGTCAAACATAAAAACAAGTTAAAATTGAGAAACTTCCCTAGGAAGCTAGGAATAGCTAATCCCTAATGTCTAATTTTCCTTTTACATTAGCAAATAATCAAGAATAACTATTCCTTAAAAATGGAAGGAATACATATTCTGCATTCATCCCTTAGTTTAGTAGAAAATTTCAACATGGCTTAAGTATTCCTAACTTCATAAGGAAGCTTCTTAAATTTAGCTTGTTTTTATAGTTTGACTAAGGAATAGCTGTTACCACCAACCAAAATGATTTAAGAATTTCTTCATTACTTTCTGCATCCAGAATTGCATGGTATAATCTTCCTATACTCACTTTTCTTTTCTCCATTTTTAATTATATCACCAGCATCACAGTGTGTATCCATAGAAACTAGCTGTACCAATCAATATTTGGAAAAGTTATCACCTTTTGTTTCCATAAATTGTTCAAATACTAAGATAGACAGGCACATAAAAAGATGATACTCCAATTTGGTATATCACAGGAGGGAGATATATGAAGTGCAACATCATTCTGGTAGGGAAAAGGGAGGTTTGAGATTCAATGGCATGAAAACCTACCACAGAGAACACCTGAAATGTTCTAATGGTATGAAAACCTTCAGAGCAGACATCAATTCAAAATCTCAAACTATTATCTGTTATGATTATGCCTATGATGATCCACTATACATTTATCAATTTTTTTGGGAGTTTTGAGGCCATCATTTATGCTGGTCCTATTCTAAATTTGCTACTTGGATTTCTATCAGTTCTAGATGCCATATAATAGCCATTGATAATGTACATTGAGAAAGAGAGACTACCTGCAACAGCCGTCTAGCATAACCACCCTCCATAATTCGAGCAAATGAAGATGCATGTGAATATTTATTCCCTTCAAAGGCATGATAAATGTCAGGATGAGCATCTAAATGAAGTACATCCACTGGTCCACCAAGCTTTTCAGAGACAGCTCTCACAACAGGAAAAGATATTGAGTGGTCACCACCTAAAACTAACGGACGCAATGGACCCTGAAAAGCATGGGTGTTAGAAGAGTTGACATTTATCTCTTTAACCAAACATTTAACACAGGCCAAAACGAGAAAGAAGAAGAAGATCAGCATGTAGCCAAGGCATGCATATATCAAGGGAAAAATCCCATCCATGGAATGAACCTTTCCCAAAAATCATTTCAAATTGTGATAAATTCTGAGGAGAGCTTGTTTGTTTATGCAAAAAGAAAAATCATTAAAAGAAGAGCTTCGTAATTAAACAAAAAAGATATTAACAATGTCACCCTGCATAATTAGCATTTAAATCTAAAGAATTTGAAATTAAGGATCCTATTGTGGATCTATGCTTCCTCTATCCAATAATGATACATTCCAATGTGTACAAGTATAGTCTATGAACAGACTATAATCGTTTTTTCATAGTTTTACCTAAATTTCCTTTCCAGGGCAATTTCTTTTGAAATAGTTATGACCTATGAGATGGAATGAGAAAATTCTAAAGATCAAATTCAGAAGCCAAAAAAAAAAAAAAAAAAGGAAAAGGGGGAAAAATTACCTCTTAGAATCCTGCCAGTATCCAGAAGAATTCTTCTGACTAATGCATTCCATTTGCAAGAATATTAAAATATGATAGTAGAGATTAAGGGAAAAAAGGGAAACGCCATAAAACATCAAGAGGATGAATACAATCCCAAGCAAGCATGCAGATGAACAAACAAATACAAAAGAAACTTGTTCTAAATCATGGTTATCCAAAATTTCCAGAGATTAATGTATTGCAAATCAATAGAGAATAAACTATTTTACAAAATAATTCCAAAACCAAATCAACAAGTCAGATGGAATGCAAGAAACAAACAAAACTAATTTCAAATCACATTTAAATCAAATATATCTTATGTTGTTTTTAAGAGGAAAAAAGGATGTTGCTTGGCACCAAATTTAAGAATTGTTCACAAAGCAACCCAACATGAAACTGCAAAATATACATTCTTGGGTTAGCTGCTAGAAGGGAACAAAACCCACCTCTTCCATCACTAATTTGACAGACTCGCTTACAACGTTCATTAATCTGTCATCATCAACACCACAATCACGAATCTCTTGGACAGGGACATCACCCACATCAGTCAGGACTCGTGGATCACTTAGCACCTTCCCTGCACAACCAAATACTAGCATAATGTGAGAATAGAACTAACATATAGTTTCTAAACATCTCAAGTAAACCTGATAAAAAGATAATTGCATCTTATGGATTTCTGGCAGAATTAAATTAATTTTAAGATTAAAGTTTTTTTTTTTTTTTTTTGTAACAAGATAGAGTAGAAGTGAGAAAAAATTGTCAAACACAAGAACACCACATTCATTGAATCCTCTCATGAGTTTACAGTTTAGAAAAGAAAATAATTACTTCACACCCCAGATTGTTGTACAAGAAATGTAAATTTAAATCTTGTGCTAAGTTCAAAATATTAAGAGCATCCTTCATTAAGAATCAGCAAATCAAACAAACAAAATTAATTCTGGGAGAACTAAAAAGTTTTGAGCATTGATCCCAACTGTTAGCCACAAGACAACATCAGTTACCTTCTTCAGTTGTCGAGTTTGTGCTACCACACCAGATTGCCTCTCTGATGCGAGGAGGAGCAAATGCTGGCCCTTGAAGAAAGGATGAGTTATGTCCTAAAGGAACTCCAAGCAGGGATGTGGTCGCTAAAGCACCTCCCAATACCCGCACAAGCTCTCCCTAGGGAATACCGGGAATAAGTTCAGGGACTAACTTTCAATATTTTGAATTTCAATAAAAAAAAAAAAAAATCACTTTTCCCCACCACCAGAAAGGACTTAATAATCTTATTAAGACCATATAAATTGAAAAGAAAACGAAAGAAAAAAAAACTCACAAAAATGAAAGATTCCGAAATTATCTTGTATAGACACCATAAATGGCTCAAAGATTTGCTAGAGATGCACAATAATGATTTAAAAGTTCATTGCTTCAGGATAACAGGAGTCAGAAGAAATCATCACATACCTTAAGCTTTGCCCTCTCTCGGATTAATGTTAGAGAAGCATCAATAACCCGACCTTGGCCCTTCTGTATCAAATCAAGGGGCACATTACCATCTTTTAGTTTCTGAAAATAATGAAATCCTCTCCTCCCTATGGTTGACATGACTGTAAACCTGGAAAAGATCACATAACCTGTCAATGGAAAATCTTATCTAACGTCTCTACTTATGCAGAAATCTATAACAAATGCCAAACCGTACGCTAGTCGAATTTGAGAGAAACTAGAATGGATCATTAACATGAATTTTCGATTTCGGTATCAAGAACGACTTCCAAATAGAACAGAGTTCACGAGCAAACTAATTGTCCAGGAAAACACCATTCTAACCAAGAAATAAGACAAAAGCATTCATTGTTTGCCGAATTCGGTCCTTGACGGTGATAATTTAGTTTCCGATTCATTCACTAATCCAACCACTCCAAAAACTTAATTACCAGAAGAAAAAGAGAACCGCAAAAGACTTCATCAGGTGTCGGAAACAAATCAGAGAAGTAAAATGAAAGGCGGAGCAGTGATACCTTGAAGAGAATCCGGCGAGGGAGATAGGCATGGAGATGCAGAAGCTAACGCGAGAGAGAAGCATAGTGAGTCGATTGAGTGAACACAGCTACTGGGGTCGCTGGCCCTTAAGCTCACATTTAAAATGTGAAAGCCATGCAGCCTTTTTCAGTTGTCTTGATAATGTACCCAACAGGCACGTGGCTTCTGACTCATTTGGAATTACGTGGCATATTTTC